TGGGTGGGATAAAGTGTGGGTACACCCACCTCTTCCAGTATGTTCGGTCAGCGTAGAAGAGGAAACAATACACAATAGACTGCGTGTAATTACGGCTATTTCGCCAACGGTGGAGTGAGCAAGTAAATAATTTAAGGATTGCACTTTTAACTGAGAAATTATGTACTTAGGCCGCTTTGCAGATTGTACGTTTCCACTTACCAATAAATGCAATCTCTAACATTCCACTGTAAACGGCACCGTTCCCGACTTTTCCGACTGGTAATCCATTCTAAAAGCGGTTATTGGATTACCTCGTGTCATTTAACGACCCTAAATTATACTGGTAGGAACCACCTGGTTCCACCAGCCCACAGGGGATTATTGTGTCCGTCCGTCCGTCGTGCATCCAAAAATAGGAGGGGTGGGGCTGGGTGGAGAGGGGAGGGTGGGGAGGGGCTGGGTGGGGAGGGTGGGAGGGTGGGGAGGGGCTGGGTGGGGAGGGTGGGAGGGTGGGGAGGGGCTGGATGGGGGGTGGGAGGAGTGGGGCTGGGTGGGGAGGGGCTGGTCACCCCGTTGTGCCCTTATAAAACTCAACGTGTAACCTACACATGCCGGGTTGTGCCCGCCCTCACAGTCGGCCATATTTGCGGAATACACCACGCCGCCGTTGACCCTGGCCATTGACCAAGCAACCCAACGTTCCTACCAGCTCCCTCCGCAGGAATGTGTTATGCAAAGGTGTCGGCCCTCCAACGAAATTGCGTGACGGGCGCGCGCGTACTTGTTTCCCACCCGCACGTGATTCGCTAATGGGAATACGTGGGAAGGGGCCATGAATGGTCTCGGCTATTGCCAAACACAGAATTCGGTGTTTTTGCTCAGTGGCTTTGCAAAGATTTGAATTATGTCCAAAGTGTATTCAATAACTGTGTTCACAATTGTATGCTCAATCACTTTTAAATGACGATAGGTGACATCCACCCTGATCAATTATACAACACCCAGTGCGGTAATATTGCACAGTGTGACTGTCATTTTCAAACAATGTTCACAAAACCAACCCTTTTTTTACGTCTTTACTATTATTGATTGGCGAGTATGAGAGTTTTCTTCATAATTATAATTTGTTGCATAAATAGCTCTTCTATTAATTTGTACCTTTTGCACAAATTCACATTACCGTAATTGTTGACCACGTTCATAATCGGCTATGGTTTATCCATTCCTGGATGAAAATTCCTTCAGCCACCATAGGGGAATTAAAAAGGAATTCTATAAAACTATACTCTTTGGTTCTTTCGGTAAAGTCACGTAGGTAAAAAAAAATCACGACGTTTCGACTGCAACACAAGCAATCGTCATCAGGAAATATGGCTTCAAATCAAGATTGAATTCTATAAAGTTGACCATGTTGCACAATCCAATTCCAGCCACGCACGGGAAAGTAACATCCCATGCACCACACTGCATGTATTATGGTTCTATGGTGCTGATGGTTGTGTGCGATATAACTGTGATTTAATTTAATTCTGCTTATATTGTATTTGTTGTACAAAAGGGGTGAATGTCCATTCTTTTTGGAATCACATTTTTTATTTATGAATAACATTTTAATCATGCAACCACGAGTATAACATATAAAGGTTCCTAGAAAGAACTAATTTAAGGTGCGATAAAAAAACCTGTATTTTATATGTGCTTTTATAGTAGAATTACTGAAACAACTTGGGAGTACGTCTTAGAGTTCAAAATTATTACTTGAGAGGAGAAACGGGAAATAGTACAGGAATTACATGACAAGCAGTGAAAAAGACTAAAAAGGAAACATTGATTCATGCTATATTAAACAAGCTTGTGTTAACATTTCAAGAAACATGATGTAAATATCAATAATTCAGTATGTTTTAAGACGGCGATGATCATCTTGATGGTACTGTTCATCGGCCACAAGAATGTCCTTCCGAGTCAATAACGCGCCATCACCTGCACATTGGAAATTCACGTAAAATACAGTATTATCTTATTAAATATTATTGACAACCAATATTACAACACAGTAATGGTAATTTCTTTATAAATCGATTATTAACGTCATTGTAATGTTAAAGACCAATACAATGGTTGAAACCAGTCTATACATCCGATGGCCAAATATTATGACGCAATTATGCATTTAGCTTTTCTTGTCTAAATATCTGGGTTTTAAAAAAATGTCCTTGCATACACTTCGTAGTGTAGTTTCAGCCCTGTAAATTCTTATTAAAAGCTGGGGACATGGGGTCAATGGAGAACTTATTGAGTATTTTAATATAACGTAGAAGCATCTACTCTTTAAACGTATAATTTACAGCAATATGTTTAGGTTATTGATCCATTTGACAAATAATTGTAGTGTAAATTGGAACTTTTTGACATTAGGGAGACTTTATTTTTTTGGAAAAAGATCATCATATGACTGGCAATTAACTTTATTTATCTAAGAAACCCTTACTAAGTCTCAAATGTAAATTGAATAAGGGCCCTCGCTGGGATTCACGTAGGGTTGCCATGTGTTCCATAGACCAAATCTAGATATTTCTAAGGTAGTGTAGGGCTGTTACAGAGGGGCTGTTTGTGTAGGGCTGTTTGCATAGGAGCTAACGGATAACAAACACAGTGGGCGGGGACTCCGCCAGTACACGGGGTGGTGCCCGCAACGACGTCCGCACCGGACGGCGTGAGGGGGGTTGTGATCCTCTAGGGGGGTATAAAAAGGGATGAGCCAGAGAGCTCGGGGTTCAGTCTTAGAGTAATTAGGGGAAGACGGAAGACCGACCAGATAGGCCCTGGACTCCCCCTGGGACGCCGCCCTTATCAGGGCAGCGCAGGCTGGAGCCAGTGGCGTGGTCCCGTGAACCAGAGTTAGTACTCTGGGACTCCGGGTACCGTAGCCCGACTGACCAGTGTCGGGCCAGACAGCCTCCCCTAGCCCGTTAGTGGAGGACTCGGGGTAGGAAGGATAGCTAGAGGTGTATCCCCAGTTATACGGGTGAGGGGGCCGATACACCCCTCTAGTGCTGTACGACCATTGTGTAAATAAACACGTGTGCCTTACAACGGTGTCCAAGCGTCATCAAGAGTACTTCAGTAGCATAGATCTATCAACACTGCACCACATAATACTGTAATATAATTTAAACAATACTAACCATTCTAGATATGAATCATTTCCTGACACCTGAACAGAAATGTCAATTGCTGAACTGTCTGTATGAACCCCAGATCATACCTGGACAAGTGGGGACCCTAGCTTGAGTACCTATTTGATAAACTATACGGAGGGACATGTGAAGAGGAGACTTTGGTTGGCGTAGTTCAACTTTTTTTTATTTCGTTTACACCACAGCAATACTCGTTCAAACCAACCCTGTTTCCTCGTTTCACAGTCCATTTTAAACCTTCTCTCTGCCCTTCTCCACCAATCACCTTTCGACAATTACCTGTTCTTTTTCGATCCGTTTCTCCTCACAAATCCGATCAGAGTGTCATCCACTCACCAATCTGATTACGTGTCGTGCACGTCAGTGCTCACACCCCCGATTTCTATTCCTTGCCCGAGTGTGCTGTGTGCGTGACGTCAGTGACCCCCGACCTCTGACCATTCCTTAATATATCCCCCGTTTGGTAATTGACATGTGCGGCGTGTGTGATTTCGAGTGCGGAAGGTATGAGCGTTGTTTGTGTAGCGCGAATGTGTGAGAATGGACTATACATCCTTTACACATGTATCCATTTGCTCTACTGCCATCTTATGGTCAGCTCACAGCCCAAGTTTTAGTTCTGGATGAAGTCTGTATGAGCCACCCGCCTCACATCGAAAGTACTGCATCATAAATGTGTAGAGGAGTAGAAGAGGGTAGTGACGTCGTGTGCGCTGTCCGGTGCAATGGCGTCACGAGACGTGGGGTCATGCTCTCTGGACGGCGCACATGACGACACAGCTCCTCGAGTATAAAGGGGGGACCCCGTGACGTAAGCGGGGTCGTAGCTGGAGTAGAGGGACCGAAGAGGGTGGAACGGGGAGCCAGGGGCAAGAGGGTAGGGATAGGGGTAGCACAGCGCCCGAGCTGGACATGGCCGTGCTCCTCGGTCGGCCGTGTTGGCTGACCCCACAGCTGGCGCAGAGGAGACAGCACGGGGCAGCCGGCTGTGTCGGGACCCAGTAGGGACCAAGCCCGGGATCCCTAACCCCTGGGAGTTGTTCCCCCCGAAAGATATCAAATAAACCTACGGCGAAAGCCCTTAACCCTTACTTCCGTCTCTGAGTCGTCGATAACTCTTCTACAAATGTATGCCACCATGTTCAACACATGATAGAGATGTTCCATTAAATATTTTAATAATGCAGTGTACAAATACTGTTTTGAATTATGTATAACTGATTAACATAGTATACGAGCTTGTGCATACCATTAGTGGTTTTAATGTGCAGCTTACGTTTTGAATCCAGGGAATGTAGGCAGATATTCTAGTGAAGACTGTAGGCGAATAGTAATCTTTACAATTCTTTGCCCATATAAATGAAACAACGCCATGTACAACCCATGAATTGTCACTCTTCCGACATAGTAGCGGTCCACCCCCATCACCCTTTGAACGAACGGACAAGTCATTGTTAAAACATTATCGTTAACCACAATTTAAGATATGAGTATAGCAAATTCTTACATATGTCAAACTGTCAAATAATGTACTGTGTGAAAACTTTTGATGCATTTTGAGCAGAGTAATCCCTGCACTGTACAACTTGGGCTCATTATTCCTAAAAACACTTTCACAACAAATCAGTAAATTGTTTCAAATTGTGACTCAAACAAGAAATATTCTTACATGGCATGCACCGCTTGATGCATCACCAGCACATATTGTGTTTGCAGGTAACTTAGAACCCCAAAATTCACTTGATTTGCATGTGATGTCGTCAACCACTGGTAGGTTGGCTTGCTGGAGCGTGCTGGTAAATGAACCATCGACTGAAATATATCGGGAAAATTACAAATAAAACTCAGTTACAACCCTTTTACAATATATAATTCATAGCTATATTGTACAGTATGCAGTCGAGTCACAAAAGTTTTCATTTTTCAAAAAGCATTCAACAAGAAGCTGCACCAAACACGGCAACACATTCTAAGTTAAGGGAGGTGCAAGGGAATTCTACCACGATGTGAAATCTCATCTGTAACAGCATTATGCAAAGTTACGAATGTCTTCATAGGTGCACACCGCTGCAGGGTTTCGGAAATCTGCAGCAGTGTCCACAAAGATCAACACACAACAGATGAATGCAGGTGACCCCTCAACGCCTGGCCGTTGGTTATGTTAGATCCTGCCACTGTTGTAGAGTTACCAGTTGACCTCCAGAGACAACACCTTCGTCCCCCACCTTTGGGTGTCCACTTCAATGCCTCTCTTAATAGTCTGCCCTCCATCCTGGTACAAATGTAATTAACCGTGGAAGGATGATAGTAATGTTAACCAGGCCGGTTTTTGGACGGTGTTACCACAATAATTTCTACATAGAGCAATCCCTCAACAACCGCGGAGTCACGTAGGTAGAAATCTACCTTCGTGACTTTACCGAAAGAACCAAAGAGTATGGTGTGTAATTTGCTATATTTTATTCGGTGTTTAGTTCATAAACAGGCAACTTAGTGAAGCTATGACGAGTCTGACCGTGGGCGTGGTACCCCTAACCCCCTATTTCCCATAGGCCCTGAACTTTACCAACCGCGGATTTCCCTCCTGTGGCATTTACCAGAAATCTAACCTCCGCAGTTGGCGAGGCATTGCTGTAGTCATTTTATTAATACTACAGAGACGTTTAGCGAAGTTGACTTCAGACTGAGAGTTAAAATAACATCTTCCCATTTGTTCGCTCTTACCAGTGCCACCAAGGTGCATGTGCCATGAGACAACAAAAAGTGTTTCAGTGTGAGATAAAATATCTTTGTTACTTTAAAATTGCAGAAAACGTAAAAACAAAAGCGATCACTGTCAAAATTAAATACAACGCATGTCAAACAAGATTTGATGAAACTGGTAGCGAGATGTTAACTACCTCGCCTTGTAAACAAGAAGTCGTGGGTTCAGTCCCAACCCTGATGCCTGTATTTTTCGAGTTTGCATGTTCACCCCGTAATCGCGTGGATTTTTCTTCAGGTCCTGCAGTTTTTCACTCCACATTTGGAATCGACATTCGTTTGGAGTATTGGGCTGCTCTAAATTTCCACGCGATAAACCATTTAATTGAGCTATCATTTGTCGCTAGGTCGCTTCTGAAAAAGAGCGGTATTGCTCAGTGGGCCTTGCCTGATAAAATACAAATAGTCATAGAAACATTCCAGTAGAGCAGTGCTTCTCAACCATTTTATTCCATGGCACACTTTTGAGCTTGCTCAATCTTAATGGCACACTGAACCAAAACATCACTGTGGGCCCTTCATCCATTCGTTGATTGACCATAGCTCATGATGATGTGTGTGTGCACGCATCTATTTTTCGAGAGGCCACCGTGGTGGCTTTGGTGCCCTCATGGAAATGTGGAATTTTCACAGTCACGTGTGTCGCTGTCTCCTTGTTCACCATGTGTTCCACTGGCCTCGTTGCAACTCAATTCGAACTGCAGACACGTGAGGCTGGGGTTTAATTATTCATCCGGGGAGCACCCGGCTCAACCAATCAACTACGAAGGGGGGAGTTACGTGTTTAAGTATGTGTGTGACACTTTGTTTAATTTATCTGTGTGTCCAATTTAATCGTCTATTTACGGTGTGCCACAGCACGCCGGTTGTAAAGCATTGCAATAGAGGACTCTTCTAGAAGTATTCATAATTGGCAAGGTATTTGTGAGTAAAATCTATTATAATTATTATGACTATTATTACATTAATAATAGATGTTATTCATTGCACATTATACTCCTGTATTCCATATTTATTTTGTGACTACCTAATGTATATGTGGTCATCTTTGTTGTTGCAACCTACTTTCTTTGGAGCCCCAGCCGATGGCGTAGCATTTGCTTGTCGATGACAGTCGCTCGTTGTCACTGGGAAGGCAGGCGAACTGTATTCCAGTGTCCGGCGTCACCGGTTCTTTCAGCTTAATCAATCCAATGTTATTTATATACACAATGAAATAGTTTATATTGAGAATGAGAAGATCTGAGATAAGCATCAAGATATAAAACTTGTACACATTATGGTGGATTGGCTCCTAAAGGTATGTGAAAACAAATCATGTATTAATAGTTAAATCTACACACTCGATTTTGTTTATTATCAAAAATGTAGGGTGGGCAATGGTAGAATCGCGTTTTCGTGTCACCTTCAACATAACTAATATCGTCATCTAGGTGAATTTGTTGTCATTAATTTGAATCCAGATATCAGCAGAGCTATATTCCAATAATGACCCTTGTAAATGTCATCAACCGATCGAGTGTACCAACCAAACAGTGAATAACGAATAACTGGGACACAATGGATCAACGTTCACGTCACACCACCATCAGGTTCCGAGTCCGCCTAGGAAACGAATGATCCTACTAGCAGACCAAATTCGAAGAAAAGCTTCGTGAGAAGAGCCTCAAATAATTCTGGTCAAAGTCCCAAAGTCGAGAACACACAGCACGAAGATCACATTTCAGTCGGAGCAGCCCTACGAATCCTCCAACTTAATGTCGAAGGCGTGTCAGCAGCCAAGCGCAGCCTCATTAAAGTCCTTGCTGCCCAACACTGATAATTTCACCTGCCTACAAGAAACCCACATTGGCCCAATCCACAAACTCAGCGGAGGTCTACTCGTCCTCAACTCAGCAGGACCGGAAAGCAACCGCTTGACTTAGGGACTTTGCAGTCGCTAAATAGAATAAATTTAATAACTATCAAGACCTAAATGTGACTTCCTGGCCATAAACCTAAGGGAAAACAACATTGACATTTTTGCCTTATAGGAGACGCACTTTGAGGACAGCATAACGATGGCAAGCTACCAAAGAAATGGTTACACCCTTGTCGACTCCATCTACCACCCTAATATGTTCGCCACCTTGCTTAGGCAAGGCTTAAATGTATACGCCCTTAAGTATACCACAACAAGTGACGGCACATGGACAATAACTGTCACAGTCATGTGATCGTCATCGATGTATACAAGCCCCCTGAATAAGGAATGGCCATTACCACCACTACCAGCAGTCACTCACCTCGCTATATATGTGGTTGACTTCAATAACAACCACACAAAATGTGTTTACTCAGAAAATATTGCACATGCAATTTGACGCGTGAAATTTGCAGCCTGCACGCCCTTTGGATGTGACAATCCGTCCCTTCAGCCACCCAACCAGCAAAACTTTTAATAAACAGGACCCTGCGGGGTGGGCTGGTAGGAACGAATAACCAAAGAATATGAACATAATGTATTATTACACTTGTTTAGCCAGGAAAGCCCCACTGAGTCTAAAGGTTTTTGTAGGGTCCTGCCAAGTGTTTGCAGTAGGGGGCGATGTTGCTACACCGAATCGGACGATACGAAGGGAGAGGTTGAGGCCTAGTTCTAGGCTTTAGGCCTAGCTGTAGGCTTTAGGCCGCCGTGAGTTTATTTTTAAATTAAATGTTTTTATTATTTGTGTCAAAGCTTTACATTTAAATGTTTCTATTTAAAAGCATTAGGGAATGTAACATTGTTAAACATTAACTCCCTTGCACACACGCGGGGGTACGATACGAAGGGAGAGTGATAGTCGTAGTTCGAGGCTTTAGGCCTAGCTGTAGGCTTTAGGGCGCTGTGAGTTATTTTCAAAGTTTTAATTAAAAGCTATCTCAGGGAATTATAAGGGAATGTTACACTTGTTTAGCCAGGAAAGCCTCACTGAGTCTAAAGGTTTGTGTAGGGTCATGCCAAGTGTTTTCAGTAGGGAGCGATGTTGCTACACGTAATCGGACATCGGACGGACGGACGATATTATTTTTTTATTTCAAAGTTTTAATTAAAAGCTATCTCAGGGAATTATAAGGGGATGTTACACTTGTTTAGCCAGGAAAGCCTCATTAATTTAAATGTTTTAATTAAAAGCTATCTGAGGGAATTATAAGGGAATGTTACACTTGTTTAGCCAGGAAAGTGTCACTGAGTCTAAAGGTTTTTGTAGGGTCATGCCAAGTGTTTGCAGTAGGGGGCGATGTTGCTACACGGTCGGACGGACGATATAATCTATTGTAGGCTGGTCCACTTCGTTCCTACCAGTATAATACAGTAAAATGTAAAAGTAACTGTGTGGAACCAGGTTCCTCCCCACCCCCAACGTCACCAGCACCCCCTACGTCTTGCACGTGACAACCCTCAGCCCCCCCTCCTACCCGTGTCCCGCTCCTCGCGCACCTCTTCCCACGAGCGGCCCCCGCCCTCCCCACTGCACGCCCCCACTCACTGCTGGCCACCCGCATGCCCCTCCCCTCTGCGCACGTGGGCGACGCATGGCAAGCCAGCCAGCAAAACTTTTCCTAATAAAGTATGGGTGGTCATCCGATGACCATTTGTCAGAAAATCACGCCAAACATTTTTTTTTTGTGGGACGAACACAGACACAGAAACTGACACTAGAAAAAAATAGATGTTTAATACTTACTCAAAGCTGGAGTTAAATCCGGAATGGTAAGCAGTTAGGTAGACTTCTGAAACAATTGCCCCAGCCTCCTTCTGGTATATATTGTGCTTGCCAAGCACAACTCGCATATAATAGTTCAGTCTGCGGATATCACATAAACAACGCAACTCACACAGCTTCAATTCCATTTAAGGGCTTCTAACTTTTTAAATAAATAACAAATTGTACCATTCATCCGCAGAAACAAAAGCATGGCTACATATAATCAAATATCTACAAGATAAATCTGTATAACTAACACAATAGCAGGTTTGTGATTATTCATATCTAAAAACTTGAATGCAAATGAAAAACGTACTTGAGATAGCCGGCACTTGTGAGAACCCACTGTGGGGCGATTAGGGTTCCACTATATAAGTGGTACCATGCGTTTGCCGTCGAATTGTAGTATTGCACAGATACCTGTTGTCATCACATCAACATAAATCGAGCAGTCAAAGTTTATAATAATAATTTTAAAAGACACGTCAGAATATTTATTTCTACTGGAGAAATCTGATGATCCATGAAGCTCTTTTTGACAGATTTCCAGTAGGGGCAGGTCATAAAGTTACAATACACGTAGCATGTGTAATGACCGACTTCAGCGACACGTCGTGTAGAGGGTACTTCTTCTTTATTACTCACACTGGGAACAACACAGGCCAACACTTATTCTTCCTCACACTGAGTACAACAGTAGATATTAACGTCTATACTGGCTACACACAGCCGATCACTCGGCGTGGTCCCATCGTCCTCACTCGGCTACGCCGCTGGCTGGCGGCGTGACGATGATGGCGTGGCTAAGTTCCACCTCTGGCCACGCCCTCTCGTGGAACCTTCGAGCAGGTTCCTGGAGTATCTCATCTAGCTCCACCTTATACATTTGCCCCAGATACACCTCGCTCTCTGATTAGTTGTTACTTAACCATGGCCGTACCCGTGATTCCCCTTCCAGGCCAGCAGGTATAACCCTGTCATTACACATGCATGCACCGATTTATTAATTAACGGTAATGCTTATGCACATGATACAGGCATCGAACCATGCACGTAATACAGTAATCTAAATAAAATGTACCCAAAAAGATGGAATCGGTTTTTTTTATTATCAAATATTGACAAACATTCATCATGGAATAAAAAACAAATAAAGGATTCATTAGCAGTGTGGAGGTCTCGATTTAAAGCTTTCGTGACTGCAGGGATTAATCTTCTTGGTTCTTTCGGTAAAGTCACGTCGAAGGGAAATAATAAAATAATAAAAATAAAACAATAAAATACAATTCTCACGTTGTGGCCGAAACGTCGTGAGAATTGTATTTTAGAATGTTTGATTTTTATTATTTTATTATTTCCCTTCTACGTGACTTTACCGAAAGAACCAAGAAGAAAGTGTGGAGGTCATCATTGTTTCTAGGCAGTAAGTGTCATTTCCTAATTGCTTATGCCTCAAAGGTACAGAAAATGGCTATTATTCCCCACAAACTTTGCTTTTGTGACCAGGACAGTGATATTTTTAAATGTACATCTTTTCCAGAACATTCCAGATATATTCAGTGCTGAGTAAACTTGGAGTAACTTCTTCTTGGTTCTTTCGGTAAAGTCACGTTGAAGGGAGATAATAAAATAATAAAAATAAAACATAATAAAATAATACAATTCCCCCGTCCTCAGGTGAAGAACAGGTCTGTCGGAAAGACAGCGTCCTTCACCTGAGGACGGCTGCTTGCGTTGTGGCTGAAACGTCGTGAGAATTGTATTATTTTATTATGTTTTATTTTTATTCTTTTATTATCTCCCTTCTACGTGACTTTACCGAAAGAACCAAGAAGATGAATCCCTGCAGTCACGAAAGCTTTAAATCGAAAATTGGAGTAACTTCTAGAACATTCTAGAACTTTCCAGTAATATAAATAGTAGTATAATTAAAGGAACCTTAAGCCCACCAGTTCAGTTTAATTCCAGCTGCCTAAGTGAATACATATCTGCATTTTTCTAAATTGGCATTAGGAGGCTGCAAGCATCTGGCAGCACATTTTGATATGTCTGCAGCCAATTTATCAAGACTGGAGCAAAAAAGTACCCTGTGGAAGCATCTGCTATGATGTGTGAGGCCTACAAAGCATATTTCGGCATGCCTGTCGGTGATCAAGACAAACCCTGGGCACTTAATTTCACCTGCGAGTAATGCAAAAAAAACTCTGGAAGGTAAGATGGACAATTGTTGCTTGGAATTTAACGTTATAAAGTTTGTTACATTTTTTTGTAAAAGCTTTTAATTTTAAAATGTTTTACAATTTTTTTATGTTATTGAAAAAATATATCATATATGAAAAATGTTGCGAGAATCTCTTACACATTAGTCATGGGTGAAATAAATTTATTTTTGTAGGATGGTATAGAGGGGAAAAGAGAGCCATAAAGTTGGCTATCCCAAGAATTTTGTGGGAACCCACTGACCACTCAAGAAACTGCTACTACTACAGGGTGGACCCTTCCAAACGTCGGACTGGCAAGAATGCACCTAATATCATCCATTGCCCCGGTGCCACACTGCCATGAGCTCCCCGTACCCACTCCTCCGGAGAGAGAGCAGCCGTCTTTAGAAGAGAATAGCAAGTCAGAGAGCGAGTAAGACGTCGTAGATCCAGATGACAAATTCAGAGGTGGAGCTGAGGAGAGAAACCCATACTACCCCAACCATAAATACCTCAACGACTTGATCAGAGATCTTGGTCTCACCAAGTCCAATGCCAAGCTTTTGACGTCTAGGCTCAAGTAGTGGAACTTGTTGGATGAAAGTGTGCAAGTCGCAGATCACAGGAAGCGTCATCAACTTTTTGCAGCTTCTTCACCCGTCAAGATGGGCTCAGCTTCTGCCACAATGTGACCAGTCTGTTCGAGGCAGTCGGAATCGCCTGTAACCAGAATGAGTGGCGCCTCTTCATTGACAGCTCATCCATGAGCCTCAAAGCCATGCTGCTCCATAATGGTAACAAGTACCCGTCTCCTTCCCTGGTTCACTCGGTGCACCTCAATGAGGATTACAACAGCTTCAAGATCTTGTTGGACGGATTGAAGTATGATGAGTACGGCTTCAAAATGGTGGCATTCCTGATGGGTCTCCAAGGCGGTTTTACCAAGTTTCCCTGCTATATTTGCCTTTGGGACAGCAGGAACACTAAGGTGGACTACCACAGGCGGGACTGGCCACAGCGGACCGAGTTCTCTGTGGGGAGGAACAACTTCAAGTGGGAGCCACTGGTCGATCCCCAGAAGGTGCTGATGCCATCACTGCACATCAAATTGGGCCTTATGAAACAATTTGTCAGAGCTGTAGATAAGGATTCGGCAGCCTTCAAGTACCTTCAAGACTTCTTCCCCAAGCTGTCTGAGGCAAAGGTCAAAGCCGGTGTCTTCATCGGACCACAGATAAAGAAGATCTTGGAGTGCAATGAATTACCATAGAAGCTCACTAATAAGGAGAAAGCAGCTTGGAACAGCTTTATCGCAGTGGTTCATGGCTCCCTGGGCAATCACAAGGTCGAAAATTATGTGGAGCTGGTTGAGTCTCGTGTGAAGAACTACGGCATAATGAGCTGTAGGATGTCCCTCAAAGTCCATATCCTCTGATGCTCATATTGATAAATTCAAGGAGAACATGGGAGTGTACTCGGAGGAGCAAGGCGAGTGCTTCCACCAGGATATACTGGACGTTGGACGTCGCTACCAAGGACAATATAAGGATAACTTGATGGGAGACTACATTTGGAGGCTGATTCGTGAAAGTGATTTACAGTATAATAGTAAATTTTGAAAAACTACTCACTTCTACATCTTTTGTAGTCTTTTTGTATTACTTTAGTATAAATACATGTTAATTTTGAATCAAATGTTATTTTTTTCTGACTTCATGTGAACAAAAAGACACAAATTCGGCCGTTTTCTACACATCTCCGGAATCTGCAAGAACTTCCCTCTGGCAAAAAGAATGGGAAAAACGAAGTGACAAAACTGCTGAATGGAACCGGTGAGGAATCATCCCCAGTGAGGAGCTCGCATATGGTTCCAATTCCAAATAGCTTACATGGCGGAGCCTAAACATACTGAGAGTGGGTTTCGGCAGATGCAACTCTCGCATGAAATCATGGCGCTTTAGCACAAGTGAACAATGTGCTTGTCAGGAGAAGCAAACCATGGATCTACTCCTGAGATGCCTTGTAGCACCATGTCACAGCAACCATAGTAACAATGTATCGTATCATCTGTAAATATACTGGTTTATTTTTTAACACCAATGTAGAGACACAGGACTGGGAGAAGAACACATCCTCAAAGTGACTGAGTGTGAAAATAATCACATTGATCTCGAGTTGTGATCTTGGGAGCACTAAATGGACAGAAAATTAGAAGAATAGCATGAAACAAAATGGAAAAAGAAAGTTAAGAAAAAGTATGGCGGGAGGAGATGATTAATGGAGGCAGAGGTCAGGTCAGAAACGAATGATGTTGTATCTATGCCCTGTTTTCCGTTATTAATATTAAGAATAGTTAGGCAAAATTTGTTTTTTTAATCTATATATATTTTTAAATTAAATAATGAAACAACCCACTACTCCCCACAAGCACACCAGGAATCTATGAAACGTGGAGGGCCATTAAACGGTAAGAATTCGGGCACAGAGAGGTCAGAGACATCCAGATGGACAAAAGGTCGATGGCCTAACCTCCCAAGACATCTGGAGATGCACGGATAAGGTGCAGAGCAGAGAAAAACAACTGTTGCAACTCGCGTTTTCTTTAACGTTTTCCTTAACGAAAAGTAGAAACTTAACAAAAAGAATTAACCAGCAAACAATAGGGGCTTGTTATTAGATATTCCCGTATATTACTCGTATTCACCGCACATAGATTAATTTGTATTGTTTGTTTCTATCTGCATGACCTTACCAAAAACTAAAGAATACGTATTCCAGAAAGCTTAAGTGGAAACTTAGTTACACTTAACCTCAGGACATTAAAATATAACTCCGAATAAACACCAATCCCTGGAAAGAAACGCATAACCAAATTTGGCAAAGCCCTCAAAATAATGATGTAACGAGGATCATTACGAATATTCATAGACCGAATAATAACCACGATATACTAAGACCGAGGGAACTCATAAGAAATATCAAGAATAAATGTAACACACAGGACCACATAAATGTATTGCAAAAATCTCCTCACCACCTTTGTCTCCAACGGTCCGGCACAAACAGATGGCCCATAAATACTTAGGGGGTTAGAAAGGGCCGCGAGGAGGGGTCGCGAGGCTGTCTGGTTCTTCTCTCTCGGTTTGTTGTTTGTTTTCCTCTCGCAAGAGACGCGCAGAGAGGAGAGGGTGTTCACGTTTTTGAGTTAAGCACAAGCGCACATCACGAATGAGCAGTCTGGTTCGAGTCGCGCTCAGTCTTGCAACTCGGCTTGCGACGCAGCGTTGCGACGGGGCTCGCAAGGGAGTTGGGGCGCGTCGTGCCTCGAGAATAAATGGAACGAGGAGGGGTCGTTCGAGTCGCAGAAATCTGAGTTCAACCTGGGTCGAGGCTGGGTTCAGCCGTGCTCCGGCTGGCGGAGCGTCGTGAGGGAGCAAACACCGATACCGATGGCAGGTGTCGCTTCTCGCAGAACGAGGTGGCGAGGTGTGGTTTAAGTGCGAGTGAAGCTGGCAGCTGCACGAACAAAGGAAAGCACGGAGAAGAGAGAGTGACAAGTGACAACAAACAATCAACCTGTAGAAGGGCAGAAATCGCCAAGCGTCGACCAAGCGAGCATCGAAAAGGACGAGCAGCAGCGGATGAGCAACAAGAGCCATCGTTCATCGCCAGAGCGTTCCATCACGAATGAGCGCGCACAGCCGCGTCGTCCAGAGCCTGAGCCAACACAGCCTGAAGTAAGGGCGAGTGTCCGTGTGAAGTTGGCAGCGATCAAGGAGAGAGCGACGACGATATCATCGCACACCGCCGAAGGCGAGCATCGTGCCGACTCAACAATCATCCAGCAGTGGAGAAGCCTGGAGCTGCCACCAAGAGAGAGAGAGAGCGCCATCGAATGCGCCGTGTGTTTGATACACACACACCGACCAACACCCAGTGAAAACAGACAAGATGTCCAGCAGCGACGACAGAATCATCGCGCACCACGTCGGCAAGCGTCGTGCCAACGCCGCTCAATCGAGCAGTGGAGAGAGAGAGCGCACGAGCAGAGACACGCCCGAGCGAGGGAGCAAGATGGGCTCGCTGCGGCCACGCCCAAGCGAGAGGAACCTCTCTGGCCGCTGGTTGTATTCCCCCCACCCCACAAGCTAACGACACAACTCCCGTCTCTAAGAAAAATGTAATGAATTTTACAAGGGGACAACGCACACACAACACGCACACGAATAAGACTTTCAAAAAGTTATCTTTGCGTTTCAAAAAGGGTTGCCATTTCAAGGTGGTGCGTTCAATATCAACTGATCGTGCAAAGCAGTTGCTGCCATCGAGTTACATGAATAAGAAGTGTTTTAGTCATTCATTTTCGTTAATTGCATAATCTTGCTCATGAATTTATTGACGTATGCTTTCGCCTTTGCATATTAGAGTGTCATGTGTTTGTTTAGAATTAAAATTGCTTAACACCAAGTGTTCGAATGCTTCTTTCCCAGTCCAAGCAAAACTGTCTTATTCATAAGAACTGTATCCTGCGATGAGATATGAAACTGGAGACCTAACATAACATAAAAACACTAAGATAATCAGTAAATGTTTAATCAAAGATAATCGTTTTATCCCGATTGATACAACTCTGGATAACGAAGCTAAGCCTAATTATCATAACTGAATACATTAACATAATCGCAAGCATCTGCATAAATTACTACGATTATCTCCGTAATTATCATAATTTATGCATATAATTACACACATTAACATAATTTATGTGATTTACGCATTTTTAGGAAAATTATTACTTTTTATTATTTTTATAAAAATTTCATAATCCAACATATACAACAATGAACACAACTCTCCCTGTGTTCTTTTGTGATCCATGCTACAGGTCCTTATTCGCGTTCATCGAAGATGTGTTGTTCTTAAACATAAGCAAAATTAGGTCAACTCGGGCTGACAGAGTCGATTCGAGTTAGCTGTCCCATCAAAATAACATTTGTTGTCTCAAGGTCAAAAAGAACGTAAATAATGCAAATCAATATTCAGCTGTGAGTATAAATTGGCTGACAAATTTGTATAATCTTAATTTGAAGCTTTCGTGACTGCAGTAATCCATACTCTTTGGTCCTTTCGGTAAAGTCACGTAGTTAGAAATCAAATAAAACAAATCACGACGTTTCGATCGAAACGTCGTGATTTGTTTGATTTTATTTCTAACTACGTGACTTTACCGAATGAACCAAATTTGTATAACGCGCCAATTAATTGTTCCGTGTTGTTAATAATCGGAGAGAGCTGTAAAGAGCCAATTGTAACCCACTGCACACTTGTGGACATGTTCACAATAGTATTGGCATTTTTGTTCATCAGTTGATAAGTTAAGCAACATTAATGATTGTACTTGCTTCTATGTTCGAATGCCTATGCTCCCCACCTTCACCAATCCGCAGGAATTGGAGTGGTGAAGTTTGAAAAAAGAAGCCCAAGAATTGATCTCATACCTGCCAAGGCCAGCTGTGAGGAGTGGCCTCACTACCACCTGCAATGCGATTATGTTGAGCAATCGCAGATAAACCACAAGTCTGAGCCGAGACGAATGCTGTGGAAAGAAAAGCATACGAATAATATAAACACTCCTGGTGAAATAATTTAACAGTTGCATGGAAAAAAACCTAGAATCCGAACTAATCTTACTGTAAGTAACACATGTGAATACCTTGATTCAGCAGGAAAGTGAAGATCAGGAGAGTGACCATGATTTCTTGATTGGGGTTTGCAACACACTGTCAAATGACCGACGCACAGCCCAATATATACATGGACATACAAGGAAGTGAAATGTATTTCATGCCAAACATTTTGCATAGATAAATGTTCTGCGGGCATGGCGTCACGGGTCTACGAGTCGTAGGTAGTAAAATTCCATCACTGCTCTAAAATTATTGCGTGTTTTTTTGAGTTGTGAGAGAAATATAAACAATTCACGAGCGCATTGTGTCATGAATAGTGACTTTCAATTGATTGCCATTGTTTTAAAAAATGTATTCAAATATCACATTATGTACATACACTGCATTTCTAAGCTAGTTTAGGTAAATGCAAGAGCTAGTCTGTTAATTATGTCATGAAGTAAAACTAGTAGGTTTATAAAGTATAAAAATACCACAATTCGTGGAATACAATTACGACGTATATAGCAGTGTGCACCTATTTTATCTGTAAAATTTAGTTTTTTACCTGTTGCCATTATGCTGCTGACAACCACGTCTAGCCTGCTTAATTTCGCCCTCCTGATTAACAACAATGCTACAAAATGCGTGTTAAATCCACACAAAATGCTTCGTTTTCACACGTTAGATGGAGCATGCACAATTCTGTTACGGTTCATTTACCATAGATGCTGTTACATACTTTCAGAGCATTTAAAACGAGAATATACACTTGCCCACTTTCTATTGGCTTTATCAGAACAGTATACTCTGAAACAAACAATAAGTAGATTAATAAAAAAAAAATCCGATTCTTTAGATCAGGGGTCCCCAACCCCCGGTCCCTGGTGACAAAAAGGTTGGGGACGGCTGCTTTAGATGCAGCACAAACGTAGCGCCTCCAGTAGGGAGCGTTGTATTGCGGGCTGCTGCTGATTGCTCGGCTTGGAACGTCTGAATTCCAGTGAACCATCATACAAGGGTTTTTGAAATCTGTGTTTTGTTGCATTACCGGTACAATAACCGAACAAAAAACGGGTAATACACGTGTTTTTTGCACATACTGTAGAGACATATCTAGCAAATAACATCAACGTTTTCACTGATGAATGAAGGGAGCTTCCGTGATGTGACAACGGAGCATGTAACCCACACACCACGACCGTTGAAATGGGAAAATGTCTTTCCCATTTTAATTGCCGTTTCTTAAATCTCCACAGCTGCTGACCACCCAACAGTATAAATCGTTACAACACAATCGTTCGGCAAGGTTTATGTGGGTGGGATAAAGTGTGGGTACGTCCACCTCTTCTTATATTTGGTCAGGGTAGAAGAGGAGACAATACGCAATAGAACTGCGTGTAATTACGGCTATTTCGCCAGCGGTGGAATGAGCAAATAAATAATTTCAGGATTGCACTTTTAACTGAGAAATTATGTACTTAGGCCACTGTGCATATTGTACGTTTCCACTTACCTAGAAATGCAATCACTAACATTCCACTGTAAACATCACCGTTCCCGACTCTTCCGACTGGGGATCCATTCTAAAAGCGATTATTGGATGACCTCGTGTCATTTAACGACCCTAAATTATATGCAAAGTAACATCCCATGCACCACACTGCGCGTACTTGATTCACACCCGCACGTGATTCGCTATTTGTAATACGTGGGAAGGGGCCATGAATGGTCTCGGCTCTTGCCAAACACAGAATTCGGCGTTTTTGCTCAGTGGCTTAGCAAAGATTTGAATTATGTCCAATGTGTATTCAATAACTGTATCCACAATTGTATGCTCAATCACTTTTAAATGATGAAGGTGACATTCGCCCTGATCAATTATAGAACACTCAGTGCGGTAATATTACACGGTGTGACTGTCATTTTCTATTAATGTTGATTGGCGCGTGAGAGTTTTATTTATAATAATACTTTTTTGCTTAAATAGCTCTTCTATTAATTTGTACCTTTTGCACAAATTCGCATTGATTGTTGACCACGTTAATCATCGGTAATGGTTTATTCATTCCTGGATGACATTTTCCTTCAGCCACCATTGGGGAACTTAAAAAGGATTTCTATAAAACTATACTCTTTGGTTCTTTCGTTAAAGTCAAGTAGGTAGAAAAAAAAATCACGACGTTTCGACTGCAACACAAGCAGTCGTCATTAGGAAATATGGCTTCAAATCACGATTGAATTCTATAAAGTTGACCATGTTGCACAATCCAATTCCAGCCACGCACGGGAAAGTAACATCCCATGCACCACACTGCATGTATTATGGTTATGTGGTATTGATGGTTGTGTGCAATATAGCTGTGATTTAATTTAATTCTGCTTACATTGTATTTGTTGTACAAAAGGGGTGACTGTCCATCTATTTGGAATCACAATTTTTATTTATGAAATAACATTTTAATCATGCAACCACGAGTATAACATATAAAGGTTTCTCGAAAGAACTAATTTATAGTGCTATATAAAAAGAAAACCTGTGTTTTATATGTGCTTTTAACAGTAGAATTACTGAAACAAATTTGAAGTACGTCTTAGAGTTCAGAATTATTGCTTTAGAAGAGAAAAGGGAAAAATTACAGGAATTACATGACAAGCATTGAGAAATTATAAATGGAAACATTGATTCATATTACATTAAACAAGCTTGTGTTAATATTTCAAGAAACATTATGATGTAAATATCAATGATCCAGTATGTGTTAAGACGGCGATCACCATCTTGATGGTACTGTTCATCGCCCACAAGAATGTCCTTCTGAGTTTAATAACGCGCCATCACCTGCACATTGGAAATTCACGTAAAATACAGTATTATCTTATGAAATATTACTGACAACCAACATTACAACACAGTAATGGTCATTTATACTCTTTGGTTCTTTCGGTAAAGTCACGTAGGTGGAAATAAAAATATTAAAATTTAGAAAACTTCAAATCTAGAATTAATGGCCATTTCTAAATGTAATTGTAATGTTAAAGGCCAATACAATGGTTGAAACCACTCTGTACATCCAATAACACACTTTCACAGGCCCAATATTGACATGAAATGAATAATTTATATTTTCTCGTCTAAATATCTGGGTATTAAAAAAATGTTCTTGCATACACTTCGTAGTGTAGTTTCAGCCCTGTAAATTGTTATTAAAAGCTGGGGACATGGGGTCAATGGAGAATTCATTTTATATTTTAATATAATTTAGATGCATTTACCCTTTAAAATCTGTCTAGTTTGCAACTTAGGTTCTTGATCCATTTGACCAATTACTGGTTTGCAGTGTAAATAGGAATTTTTTACACTAGGGAGACTTGATTTTTTGGAAAAAGATCATCATATGACTGGCAATTAACTTTTTTTTTATCTAAGAAGGCCTTACTGAGTCTCAAATGTAAATTAAAGGTCCCCGCTGGGATTCACGTCGGGTTGCCATATTTTCTATAGGCCAAATCTAGACATTTCTCAGGTAACATAGACCTATCAACACTGTACCACATAATACCATAATAGAATTTAAACAATACTAACCATTCTAGATATGAATAATTTCCCGCCACCCGAACAGACCTGTCTGTGTAAAACCCAGATCAAACCTGAACAAGTGGAGACCCTAGCTTGAGGACCTACAGCAGTACTCACTCAAACCAACCCCGTTTCCTCGTTTCACATTCCATTTTAAACCTCCTCTCTGCCCTTCTTCACCAATCACCCTTCTGATATTTCCCGCTCTTTCCGTTTCTCCTCACAAATCCGATCAGTGTCATCCACCCACCAATCTGATTGCGTGTCGTGCACGTCAGTGCTCACACCCCCGATCTCTATTCCTTGCCCGAGTGTGCTGTGTGTGCGTGACGTCAGTGACCACTGACCTCTGACCCTTCCTTGGTGTATCTCCCGTTTGCGTGATTGACATGTGCGGCGTGTGTGATGTCGAGTGCGGAAGTTATGCGTGCTGTTTGCGTAGTGCGAATGAATGAGGATGGACGAAACATCCTATACACATGCATCCATTTGCTGTACTGCCATCTTATGGTTAGCTCACAGCCCAAGTTTTAGTTCTGGATGAAGTCTGCATGAGCCACCAGCCTCACATCGAAATTATTGCATCATAAATGTATGTCACCATGTTCAACAAATGATAGAGATATTCCATTAAATATATGAATTTGCAGAGTGTACAAATACTGTTTATAAATATGTATAATCGATGAACATAGTATACGAACGTGTGCGTAAAATTAGTAGTTTGAATGTGCAGCTTACGTTTTGAATCCAGGGAATGTAGGCAGATATACGAGTGAAGACTGTAGGCTTATAGTAATTTTGACAATTCACTGCTGATATAAATGTAACAACGCCATGTGCAACCCATGAATTGTCACTCTTCCGACATAGTAGCGGTCCACCCCAATCACCCTTTGAACGAACGGAAAAGTCATTATTAAACCATTATCCTTAACCACAACTGAAGTTATGAGTCGACGCAATTCTTACATCTGTCAGACTGTCAAATACTGTACTGTGTGAAAACTTTTGATGCATTTTGAGCAGAGTAATCAATGCACTGTACGACTTGGGCACATTATTCCTAATAACACTTTCACAACAAATCAGTAAATTGTTTACAAATTGTCACTCAAATAAGAAATATTCTTACATCGCATGCACCGCTTGTTCCATCACCAGCACATGTTGTGTTTGCAGGTAATTTATTAGACCAAAATGTGCTTAATTTGCATGTGTTGTCGTCCATCACTGGTAGTTTGGCTTGCTGAAGTGTACTGGTAAGTAAACCATCGCCTGAAATATATCGGGAAAATTACAAATAAAACTCAGTCACAACCCTGTTACAATATAATATAATTTATAGATATATTGTACAGTATGTAGTCGAGTCGCAATACGTTTTCCTTTTTCAAAAAGGCAGCATTCAACAAGAAGCTGCACCAAACACGGCAACGCATTCTAAGTTAAAGGAGGCGCAAGGGAATTCTACCATGATGTGGTGAAATCTCATCTTTAACAGCATTGTGCGAAGTTACGAATATCCTCAAAGGTGCACACCGCTGCAGGGTTTTGGAAATCTGCAGCAGTGTCCACAAAGGTCAACACACAACAGATTAATGCAGGTGACCCCTCAATGCCTGGCCGTTGGTTATGTTGTCAGATCCTGCAACTGTTGTAGAGTTACCAGTTGACCTCCAGAGACAACACCTTGGTCACCCACCTTTGGGTGTCCACTTCAATGCCTCTCTTGATAGTCTGACCTCCATCCTGGTACTACTAATGTAATTAACCGTGGAAGGATGATAGTTGTGTTAACGTGGCTGGTTTTTAGATTTTTTTTTACAAAGTAACATAGTAATCCCTCGCCAATTTCGGATTTGCCAACCGCGGTTTATTATTTGTATACCATTTTACCAACCGCGGTCTGGACATTTTAGCACCCATGGGTAAGCACAGCAAGTCACGTGACATAGGTATAACATCATTGCATTGTGGCATGGCATTGTATTGCGTGAGATCATTGTTACAGATTTTGCAGGGCAGTGGTCGTCTGTGGCCCGGACGAAGAGGGGGAGGGTGGGCTGAGCCCCTCTTCCCCCTAACTAGCCCTTCCCTCATCATCCCATTGTCATAATCATCATGAATAATACAGGTGTTGCGCCATAACAAGGCACTGTAAGTCGCTTTACCTGCCACCACGGTCACGGGGTAAAACCCTCCTCGGGTGGCCCGTGACCGGAGGTTAACACCCCAGACCCCCACGGGCTGGGGACTGGGGGGGATAGAGACCGCCCACCGTCAGAGCCGGGTTGTAGCGGACCAGTGGTGGGACCCGTACCCTGGCAGGGTCGGGTCGTTCTAGCCTCCCTTAGCGGCCATGGCAAAGGGACCTGGGTGTAGAGTAGCCTGGGGTGTGTAGAACACTATAGTAGAAGGGAGGCTGAACCTCCCTTAGGCTATCGGGTTGAAGGGGCTGTGACCCCTTCAAATGTTAAGGGTTTGCTACGCACTGTATCGTAGCCTTGTGTTAATAAACGCGTTGCCTCCAGAAGTCATCTCCGTGTAGTTAGTTAGGCGTGGTACCCCTAACCCTCTATTTCCCATAGGCCCTGAACTTTACCAACCACGGATTTCCCTCCCATGGCATTTACCAGTAACTTAACCTCCGCAGTTGGTGAGAGATTGCTGAACTCATTTTATTGACACTACACAGATGCATATTCTATGGTTATTTCGGTAAAGTCACGTAGATAGAAAAAAAATAGATCACAACGTTTCGATCGCAACACAAGCAATCATGATAATTGGTTTTTTACCCTTCTATCTGGCAACAAAACTGACACCTTTTTTACAAGGAGTCATGTTTGCATAGACCGCGGTCTATAGACCGCGGTCTATGCAAACCAATTATCATATTTTTACTGGCAAATGAGGTTCCCATAGTGTACAAGCAATCATCTTCAGGTGAGGGAGAGAAAAGCTGCTGAGACAAGGTATTATATAGACCTGAGAGGGGGGGGTGCCGCCTCGGGTAATAGGGTGAGGCTAGAGATTGTGAGAGATTAGCATGTCAATATATGAGCTTAGTATGTAGATGCCTCGGTGACTGAGCGAGTAGGACATCCAGAGAGGGTTGCCGGGTCGAGGTAAGAGGACGAGGCTAACGGTGAATGAGTGACTGAGCGAGTGAGACATCCAGAGAGGGGTTGCCAGGTCAAGGTAGCAGGGCGAGGCTAGCGGTGATGCCTCGGTGACTGAGCGAGTGGGACATCCAGAAAGGGGTGCTAGGTTGAGGTAAGAGGGCGAGGCTGGCGGTGAATGAGCGACTAGGAAATACAGCCTGTCAATACAGGGATGTTTAGCGAAGTTGACCAGTCTGGGAGTTGAACTAACATAATTCCCATTTGTTCGCTCTTACCACAGTGCCACCAAGGCCCATGTGCCATGAGATAACGAAAAGTGTATCAATGTTGGATAACATATCTTTGTTACTTAAAAATTGCAGAAAGCTTAACAACAACTGTAAAAATTTAATTAAATACAACGGATATCAAACAACGTTTGATGGAACTGGTGGCACGAGATGTTAACTGCCTCGCCTGGTAAACAGGAAGTCGTGGGTTCAGTCCAAACCCTGATGCCTGTATATTTTGAGTTTGCATGTTCTCCCTGTGATCGCGTGGATTTTTCTTCGGGTCCTCCAGTTTTTCACTCCACATTTAGAATCGACATGCGTTTAGAATATTGGGCTGCTCTAAATGTCGACGCGATAAACCATTTAATTGAGCTATCATTTGTCGCTAGGCCACTTCTGAAAAAGAATATAGTATTGTCATTAGTATGACATAAGGATACCAAGTTTGCAGTCGATACCACATTGGGAAGTGGGTAAAAATTGAGTTACAAAATTTGAGGATACAACGACAACAACAACGACAACAGAGTGAGTTAATAAAAAGCGTGTAAAAAAATGCTGCGGCACACCTAGGACTTTGCTGCAGAACCGCCAGTGTGCCACAGCACGCCGGTTGTAAAGCATTGCCATAGAGGACTCTTCTAGAAGTATTCATAATTGGCAAGGTATTTGTGAGTAAAATACATTGTAATTATTATGACTATTATTACATTGATGATAGATGTTACTCATTGCACATTATACTCCATTATTTGTTTTGTGACTACCAAATGTATGTGTGGTCATGCTTGTTGCAACCTACTTATTCTGGAGCCCCAGCCGATGGCGTAGCATGTGCTTGTCAATGACAGTCGCTCGTTGTCACTGGGAAGGCAGGCGAACTGTATTCCATTGTTCAGCGTCACTGGTGCTTTCAGCTTAATCAATCCAATGTCTTTTCTATACACAATTAAAGGGTTTATATTGAGAATGGGAAATATGAGATAAGCATCAAGATATAAAACGTGTACACAATATGGTGGCATGGATCCTAAAGGTATGTAAAACAAATAATGTATTAATTGTTAAACCTACACACTCGATTTTTTTTATTATAAAAAATGTATCGCGGGAAATGGTAGCCTCGCATCTTCGTGTCACCTTAAACAGAACTAATATCCTCATCTAGGTGAATTTTACGTCATCAATTTAAATCCAAATATCAGCAGAGGTGAACAACCGATCCAGTGTACCAACGAAACAGTGAATACAGAATAACTGGGACACAATGGATCAACGTTCACGTCGTGCCCCCCGGGGAAATTAATTATCCTACAAGCAGACTAAATTAAAAGAGAAGCTTCATGAGAAGAGCCTCAAATAATTCTAGTCAACGTCCCCAAGTCGAGAACGCACAGCACCAAGATCACATTTCAGCCCTACGAATCCTCCAACTCAATCTCAAAGGCGTGTCGGCAGCCAAGCGTAGCATCATTTACAGTGAGAGAAAAAAGTATTTGATCCCCTGCTGATTTTGTACGTTTGCCCACTGACAAAGAAATGATCAGTCTATAATTTTAATGGTAGGTTTATTTGAACAGTGAGAGACAGAATAACAACAAAAAAATCCATAAAAACGCATGTCAAAAATGTTATAAATTGATTTGCATTTTAATGAGGGAAATAAGTATTTGACCCCTTTGCAAAACATGACTTAGTACTTGGTGGCAAAACCCTTGTTGGCAATCACAGAGGTCAGACGTTTCTTGTAGTTGGCCACCAGGTTTGCACACATCTCAGGAGGGATTTTGTCCCACTCCTCTTTGCAGATCTTCTCCAAGTCATTAAGGTTTCGAGGATGACGTTTGGCAACTCGAACCTTCAGCTCCCTCCACAGATGTTTTATGGGATTCAGGTCTGGAGACTGGCTAGGCCACTCCAGGACCTTAATGTGCTTCTTCTTGAGCCACTCCTTTGTTGCCTTGGCCGTGTGTTTTGGGTCATTGTCATGCTGGAAAACCCATCCACGACCCATTTTCAATGCCCTGGCTGAGGGAAGGAGGTTCTCACCCAAGATTTGACGGTACATGGCCGGTCCATCGTCCCTTTAATGCGGTGAAGTTGTCCTGTCCCCTTAGCAGAAAAACACCCCCAAAGCATAATGTTTCGACCTCCATGTTTGACGGTGGGGATGGTGTTCTTGGGGTCATAGGCAGCATTCCTCCTCCTCCTCCTTACACGGCGAGTTGAGTTGATGCCAAAGAGCTCCATTTTGGTCTCATCTGACCACAACACTTTCACCCAGTTGTCCTCTGAATCATTCAGATATTCATTGGCAAACTTCAGACGGGCATGTGTATGTGGTTTCTTGAGCAGGGGGACCTTGCGGGCGCTGCAGGATTTCAGTCCTTCACGGCGTAGTGTGTTACCAACTGTTTTCTTGGTGACTATGGTCCCAGCTGCCTTGAGATCATTGACAAGATCCTCCCGTGTAGTTCTGGGCTGATTCCTCACCGTTCTCATGATCATTGCAACTCCACGAGGTGAGATCTTGCATGGAGCCCCAGGCTGAGGGAGATTGACAGTTCTTTTGTGTTTCTTCCATTTGCGAATAATTGCATCAACTGTTGTCACCTTCTCACCAAGCTGCTTGGCGACGGTCTAGTAGCCCATTCCAGCCTTGTGTAGGTCTACAATCTTGTTCCTGACATATCTGAATGACAGCAGCTCAAGTTTAAAGAAAACTGCCTTCCTCAACATTCGCAGGATTGTCCAGCAGAGACTCAGAGTTATGCAAGACGCCTGGCTGTGCGCAAAAGCTGAGGAGATCCAATCCTACGCTGACAGTAACAACACCAAGTGCCTCTATTATGCACTCAAGCAGGTCTATGGTCCGCAACACTCAGGAACTTCACCTCTCCTGAATTCAGATGGAACAACACTCCTCACGGAGAAGCGCAAAATACTTGCAAGATGGGTCGAACACTACAGCGCGGTCCTCAACCGGCCATCATGCATAAATGAGGAAGCAATTGCGAGACTGCCTCAAGTTGAAATAAACCAGTCCCTGGCTGTTCTACCATCCATTGAGGAAACCAGCAAAGCCATAACACTCCTCTCGTCAGGCAGAGCTCCAGGGTCCGATGCCATTCCAGCAGAAATCTACAAGGCTGGAGGGCCTCGCTTAGTTGAGAAACTGACCGACCTCTTCCAGTCTCTGTGGAAATTAGAAGCTGTTCCCAAGGAGTTCAAGGACACTACTATAATCAATCTATATAAAAGGAAAGGCAATCAGCAGGACTGCGACAACCATAGAGGCATCTCCATACTATCAGTCGCTGGCAAAATCTTGGCAAGAATCCTTCTGAACCGCCTAATTGTCCACCTAGACCAGGGTCTGCTACCTGCGAGTTAGTGTGGTTTCAGAAAAGACCGCGGAACCATTGACATGGTATTTACTGCCCGGCAGTTACAGGAGAAATGCCAAGAAAAAAAATGTTGATCTATATATGGCTTTCGTTGATCTAACAAAAGCATTCGACACAGTCAGCCGGAAGGGCCTATGGAAAATCATGGCCAAGTTTGGGTGTCCAGACAAGTTAATTGGCATTGTGCGCAAACTCCATGATGACATGATGGCCAGCGTCAGAGACCAGCAAGAACTCTCTGGTCCGTTCCCAATCACAAACGGGGTGAAGCAAGGCTGCGTTTTAGCGCCAACGCTCTTCAGCATGGTGTTTTCTGCCATGCTGCAAGACTCATTCCAGAACCACAACACTGGGATTAACTTCATCTACCGTTTTGACGGTGGGCTATTCAATCTGCGGAGGATGCAAGCCAAAACTCGAGTGGAGGAAATCACTGTTCGAGAACTTTTGTTTGCTGATGACTGTGCACATAGATGATGAAGTTAACATCAGGATTGTTAAGGCCAGTGCAGCCTTTGGACGTCTACGTGACTCGGTATGGGAAAGGACTGGCATCAAGCAGGAGACAAAACTGAAGGTCTACCGGGCTGTTGTCTTACCAACTCTTCTGTATGGGTGCGAAGCCTGGACAGTTTACCAGCGCCATGCCAAGAAATTGAATCATTTCCACTTGAGCTGTCTGAGGAAACTGCTGAGGATCAAGTGGCAAGACAGAATCCCTGACACGGAAGTCCTCAGCAAGGCAAATATCCCCAGCATCTACACCTTGCTTGCGAAGGAACAGCTTAGATGGACTGGCCACGTGACCAGAATGCCCTACGCGAGACTTCCAAAACAAGTCTTCTTTGGCGAGCTGAGGAATGGCAAGCGAGCACAAGGTGGCCCCAAAAAGCGCTACAAGGACACCCTGAAAGCTTCCTTGAAGAGCTTTGGATTCGACCTTAAAAGCTGGGAATCCCTAGCACAGGACCGACCTGCCTGGAGAAGAAAAGTACAGGACGGTGCAGTCCTCTGTGAGAGTAGGAGACGCTCCTGTGCCATCTTGAAGAGGCAGCAGCGCAAATCTACCAAGGAAGGCCGTATGGCTGCACCTCAGAGCTCTACATCCTCCTTGACCTGTCCAGTGTGCCACAGGGAATTCCGGGCTCGGATTGGACTCTTCAGCCATCTGCGCACTCATCAAAACCCAACATAATGACAAACGTGCCTTGGTCATCATCAACTTTGATGGACGAACAAGAAGAAGAAGGTCTACAATCTTGTTCCTGACATCCTTGGTGAGCTCTTTGGTCTTGGCCATGGTGGAGAGTTTGGAATCTGATCGATTGATTGCTTCCGTGAACAGGTGTCTTTTATAAAGGTAACAAGCTGATATTATGAGCACTCCCTTTAAGAGTGTGCTCCTAATCTCAGCTCTTTACCTGTATAAAAGACTCCTGGGAGCCAGAAATCTTTCTGATTGAGAGGGGGTCAAATACTTATTTCCCTCATTAAAATGCAAATCAATTTATAACATTTTTGACATGGGTTTTTCTGGATTTTGTTGTTGTTATTCTGTCTCTCACTGTTCAAATAAACCTACCATTAAAATTATAGACTGATAATTTCTTTGTCAATGGGCAAATGTACAAAATCAGCAGGGGATCAAATACTTTTTTCCCTCACTGTAAATCCTTGCTGCCCAACACTGCTAATTTCACCTGCCTGCAAGAAACCCACATTGGCCCAATCAACAAACTCAGTGGAGGTCTACTCACCCTCAAATCAGCAGGACCGGAAAGCAACCGCTTCGTTTAGGAACTTTGCATTCGCTAAATAGAATACATTGAATAACTATAAAGATATAAATGAATCTTCCTGGCCAGAAACCGAAGGGAAAAACAACATTGACATTTATGCCTTAGAGGAGACGCATATTGAGGACAGCATGTAGATGGTAAGCTACAAAATAAATGTTTACACCCTTGCTGACTCCATCTACCACACTAATATCCTCGCCACCTTGCTAAGACAAGGCTTAACGTTATACACCCTCAAGTATACCACAACAAGTGATGGCACATCGAAAATAACTGTCACAATTAGTCATGTGTTGGTCATTGATGTGTAGTGTTGTAAAGATTGACAAATAAACTTCTTTATGAAGCACACGTTGTTTATTGTCTTTTACTACAGGGTCCGTAGCATGAAGGGTATATCGGTCCCTTCACCCACTTCCTAGGGAGCTATGGCCTCCGAACTATACGGGACCTACGCTGGTGACCCGTTCCCTGTCGTCCTCCGGCTGGGACCTAGGAGAGACTAACTGACCCTGACCTCCTTGTCTGTGGGTTCTGCCCACTGGCCTCACTGAGCTCCAGTCCTTATGTAGTAAGTTGCAGGAGGCTTGGACGACGTAGTTGGAGGCACACTTATTTATTAACACCAACGTATTTACAGAGACGGGGATACACAACACTTGAAGGGGTATCGGCCCCTTCACCTGTCTAACAGGGAGCCCCAACGTCTAACCCGGCTAGCCTACTACCAGGTCCTCCAATACAGAGCTAAGGGAAGCTATCTATCCCAGCCCTGGTCAAGCTGGGATTTACGGCACCCTGAGTCTCCAGACCGGCTCTTATAAGAACATCGGTCTGGGCTCTCGGGGCCACGCCACCGGCTTTCCCTGGTCGGTCCTGACAAGGACAGTGAGCCAGGGGAGTTCCAGGGCCTACTCTAGCTGGTCTTCAATCTACGCTGGATAAAGCTAACACTCGACCTCGAGCCCTCCGGCTCACCACCTTATATAGCAATCGCCCCCCCCCCCCCCCCCGGGGGGGGCCGTGGGGGATGGCAGGTGCGGACGTCGATGTAAGCACCTTCTCAGCGTACGGCCATAACCACGCCCCTTGTGTTTGTTTGCCATCCGTACCAATACACCTCTACACTTAGAAGGGCTGCAAAGCTTAGGACCATGGTCCTATTCTCCAGCCCGGGCTTCAGTCTTCGGCATGTAGATAACTGAGCCAGAGCTCTGAGTGCTCTGGCGCCCTGTTGACAGTAAGTGGAACTGCAGGGCTTTTGGATGGTGAGTGACAATTACTCCTACAGATGTATACAAGCCCCTGATTAAAGGAATGGCCATTACCACCACTGCCAGCAGTCACTCACCCTGCTATATATGTGGGTGACTTCAACAGCAACTACACAAAAATGGGTTTTATTCAGAAAATATTGAAGCCACATCATTTGTTTTGATGGGACGAGTGACATATGCAATTAGCAGCCTGCACGCCCTATGGATTTGACCATCCGTACCTCCAGCCACCCAACCAGCAACAGTTTAACAATAATACAATAAAATAAAAAGTACCTGTGTTGAACCAGGTTCCTCCACGCCCCCAACGTCACCAGCACTCCCTACCTCTTGCATGTTACAACCCTCAGGCCCCCTCCTACCCGCATGCGTCCCCAGTCGCCCCCCAAACCCGTGTCCTCCTCCTCGCGCACCCCTTCCCGCGAGCGGCCCCGTCCCCCCCCCCCCCCCACTGCACGCCCCCACTCACTGCTGGCCACCCGCATGCCCCCTCCCCTCTACGCATGTAGGCGACGCATGGCAAGCCAGCCAGCAAAACTTCTTCCTAATATTGTATGGGTCGTCATCCGATGATCATGCCTCACAAAATCATGCAAACATTTTTATTTTTTTTGTGGGACGGACACAGACACACATAAACTGACACTATATAAAGTAGACATGTAATACTTACTCACTGCTGGTGACGTTCAATCCGGAATGGTAAGCAGTAAGGTAGACTTCTGAAACATATGCCCCAGCCTCCTGCTGGTATATATTGTGCTTGCCAAGCACTACTCGTAGATAATACGTGTCGCTGCGGATATCACATAAACAACGCAACTCAAACAGCTTTTATTCCATTTAAGGTCTTCCAAATTTTTTTTTATTATAAATAACAAGGTATCATTCATCCTAAGAAACAAAAGCATGGCTACATACAATTAAATATCTACAACGTATATCTGTATAACTAACACAATAGCAGGTTTGTCATTATTAATATCTAAAAACTTGAATGCAAATGAAAAACGTACTTGGCACAGCTGCCACTTGTGAGAACCCACTGTGGGGCGATTAGGGTTCCACTACAAGAGTGGTACCATCTGTTTGTCTCCGAACTGTAGTATTGCACAGAAACCTGTTGTCATCACATCAACATACATACCAGCAGTCAAAGTTTATAATCATTTAAAAATACACGTCAGAATCTTTAATTCTACTGGAGAAATCTGATGAGCTATGAAGCTCTTTTTCACAGATGTCCAGTAGGGGCAGGTCAGAAAGTGACAATACACCTAACATGGATGCACCGATTTATGAATTAATGTAAATGCGTATGCTCATGATAAAGGCATCGAATCATGTATGTAATAGAGTAATCTAAATAAAATGTTCGCAAAAAGATGGAATCGGGTTTTTTATTATCAAATATTTACAAACATTCTTCGTGGAATAAAAAATAAATGAAGGATTCATTAGCAGTGGGGAGGTCATCATTCAGCAGTGGAATGGACATGGCTGATGATTATTAGTGGTGTGTAGATGTAGTGGCGGTACGCGCTGACAAGGGGGGGGGGGCGTGTGTGTGAGCGCGCCGGGTGTGGCTACATCTAGTGTGGTGGTGTTGACGCGCGCCGACAGTGATGGATCACGGGGCGGCGCGGGGTGCGTGGTTGTGCGCACTGACACAAGGTGGGAAATAGGATCGTGGGCAGCACGCAGTGATTGGTCGACTGGGATGGGTGCTCTCAGCGACGTCCGCATGGAGGACTATAAAGGGGGACGCGCGGGAGCACTCGGGGAGTTAATAACCAGTTGAAGATCGAAGACGGAGTTGAAAAGGTAGGGCCCTGAGACCCCTAGTCCCGCTGTCCTTGTAAGGGCCGGGACCCTGTGTGGCTCAGAGGCGAGACTGTGGGACCCGTGGTCTGACGTCCATGTGGGACGAGGCTGTGGGACCCAGAGTCGAGACGGACACCCCAGCCGGGTGGGTTCCGAGAAGCTACGGAGCGTAAGAGCCCGTGTGGGTGTAGCCAGGGGAACCCCGTGGGTTAGGCTGCAGTTAGCCACCCGTGTAATATAAGTTGGTGTTAATAAAAGAGTGTGCTACCCGTAAAGTCGTCTCCCGCCAAGTTACTACATTACACAGACACAACTATGCAAACGCCACCACAATCCTCATTAACGTTACTTCATAACATAATTTGTTTTAATAGGCTGACGTTTATATATTTCATGTGACAATGCAATATGAGTTTCCTTTTGTATTTGGCATTATTGTTTTTGAACTTTACTATACTATCAGTATCAATAAATATTACTGAGCGGTGCTTACAATGTCTTAAACTGTAGTTGACTCAAAATAAACCTGTTACAAGCTTTTTACACTAATGAGTGGGAGATGGTAGTCTTCACGTGGCCCACCTGTTATGTGTTTTCGTGTTCCCTTCAACACAACTTTATATATCATCATCTAGGTGAATTGGATAGCGTAAATTTGAATCCAGATATGATCAGTTGAGATGAATGCCAAAAAAGGCCATAAACTGATTGGTCGTGGTCTTCGAGTTTATCAAAAAGATATTGAAGGACTCAAGACTTAAATGTCACTTTTCTGGCCAGAAACCTAAAGGACTAGAGGTCGGTATCCCTCGATTTACAAAAGGGATGTGTTAAAAAAAAACACGTAAAACAAAATGTAGTAAATCGATATGGCTTTTCACATTAATTGAATACTACTAACCTAAAAATATATACCTATATGACTTTGCATAGTACAAACAAAATAAAATGAACGTAAATATTAAAACGATTGAATAATCTGAAAGAAAAACAACATTTTCAGGGAACTTGTAAAAAAATACACATGTTTGAAAACAGTGTCACGGTATTGTGGGGATACCGTTGTTATATATATATATAGGCCTTTTTCCAAAAATGTATATTAAGAATAATTCTGCCATTTTATTTCTTATAATTGACCGGGGCGAGCATGGGATATGAAAGGGTGAGACACACCCCACCCCTCACACCCAGCTGCCTTACCGCATTAAAAGCAACTCGAGGGAAAAAGCCATAAAACCATTAAATAACAAACTCCGGGGCAAAGAGGGGTTAGCGACTATCTGGGAAATCTCCAGGTTGTCAGATGACCATATGACACGACCTTTCCAAACGTTTTGGACAGTTCACAAACAAATCTCCAGAGCCATAAAACACAGGCACATAGCAGGGACAAACGGACATTATAACTGATATACTTTTTTTTATACGGTAAAAGTTTGAAGCTTGGCTATAAGAATAAGTCGACATTTTAGACTGCAGTATTACTTATTTTATTTTGTATTGTATCTTTCTATCTATGTGACTTTACCAAGAGAACCAAGGAATATGAATTCCGGCAGTCAAGAAAGCTTAAGTGGAAACTTAGTTACATCTCAAATCTCAGGATATCAAAATATAACTCGAAAATAAAGAGCACGGATCCCTGGATACAGACAGGGAGCAAAAGTTAATAAAACCCTTGAAATACCGGAGGTAACATCTAATGACATTACAAATCTTGGTTAAACATATACCAAATAATAATCACAAGAGATTAGACTGGGGGTAACTCAGAAGAGATACAAGAAAAATAGGTCAAACACACAAGACCAGATAATATGTATTCCATGGAATCAGAGCCTCCCCGGCCGCCTTTGTCTTCCAACAATTTTACAATACATGGTAGCCATAAAATACGATTGACGGGTGCCTCCCCTCTCTTTTAGCAGAGACCACGGAGAAGGAGGGGATGCAAACAAAGCATAAACTTTGACGGAAAACAGCCTGTCCGGGGTCACCAAGGGAAGAGGGGGGGGGGCAATCAGGCACGGCCGCGGGGGGAGAGCAATGACAGAGGGCATCTGTTTTTTTTTCCTCGCAAGAGACGGGCAGAGAGGGGAGAGAATTGCAGATAAAAACAGAGACACGACCCATACATCGAGATCAACAATGGGTGTGGTACAGGTAGGAACAATGTTCCACACTGCCCACCAGGGATGTATTGTCTGTCTTACTGTCTGTCTGTCGTGCATAAATAAATATATAACACGAACAGCTCTTTGATTGGTGGAGACCTACTGTCGGGTACGGAGAGGGGAGGTGCCTGAGGGAGGAGGGTCAGGGGAGGGGCCTAAGGGAGGGGGGAGTCAGGAGAGGGGTCCGAGGGGGGGGTCAGGGGAGGGGCCTGAGGGGGGGGTGCTCAGCGGAGGGGCCTGAGGGGGGGGGTGCTCAGCGGAGGGGCCCTGAGGGGGCGTGCTCAGCGGAGGGGCCTGAGGGGGGGGGGTCAGGGGAGGGGCCGGAGGGGGGGGGGTGCTCAGCGGAGGGGCCTGAGGGGGGGTGCTTAGCGAAGGGGCCTGAAGGGGGGGGTCAGGGGAGGGGCCTGTGAGGGGGGGTCAGGGGAGGGGCCTGAGGGGGGGGGGTCAGGGGAGAGGCCTGAGGGGGGGGGGTCAGGGGAGGGGCCTAAGGGAGGGGGGTCAGGGGAGGGGCCTGAGGGGGGGGAATGTCAGGGGAGGGGCCTAAGGGAGGGGGGCGGGCAATAGTTCAGGGGGCTGTCTGCCTGGCTACCTAGAGTCAAGTTATCTATATATATAAAATCGCAAATCTGTCTGTCGGTCTGTCTGTCTGTGTGTGTGTCTGTGTGGCCGGACCATACGCAGTTTCATTGGACGGCGGTTGCCCCTGCCAACGGGTAGCGACGCCTTCGCCGCTTTCATTGGACGGCGGTTGCCCCTGGCAATGGGTAGCGACGCCTTCGCCGCGGGGTGGACGCCATTTTTAATTCCCGTTAAAAATAGGCACACGCATTAACACGCGACTATGAGGTCAATTCATCAAAGTTTCACGTCCTCTTCACTCCCCCCCCCCCACCACAATGTGTGCAATTACTATTATAGGGTCTGTAGATTATAAAAATATAGCGATTAGACAGTATTATTGTAGCGCGGGCGGGGGGGGGGGGGGGGGACGGCACCCGTACCCAGCCTCAAACCGGGTGGGAAAATCAGGCGAGGCCGGAGGCTCTGCACGGTGCTAGGCCTCGACACCCACCACGCGACTCTGAGGTAAATTCATCAAAGTTTCACGTCCTCTACAGAGTGCTGAGGGAGGGAGAGTGGTGAGGGGGGGAGGGAGAGTGGTGAGGGAGGGAGAGTGGTGAGGGAGGGAGAGTGGTGAGGGAGGGAGAGTGGTGAGGGAGGGAGAGTGGTGAGGGAGGGAGAGTGGTGAGGGAGGGAGAGTGGTGAGGGAGGGACAGTGGTGAGGTAGGGAGAGTGCTGAGGGAGGGAGAGTGGTGAGGGAGGGAAAGTGGTGAGGGAGGGAGAGTGGTGAGGGAGGGAGAGTGGTGAGGGAGGGAGAGTTCTGAGGGAGGGAGAGTGGTGAGGGAGGGAGAGTGGTGAGGGAGGGAGAGTGGTGAGGGAGGGAGAGTGGTGAGGGAGGGAGAGTGGTGAGGGAGGGAGAGTGGTGAGGGAGGGAGAGTGGTGAGGGAGGGAGAGTGGTGAGGGTGGAAGAGTGGTGAGGGAGGGAGAGTGGTGAGGGAGGGAGAGTGGTGAGGGAGGGAGAGTGGTGAGGGAGGGAGAGTGGTGAGGGAGGAAGAGTGGTGAGGGAGGGAGAGTGGTGAGGGAGTGAGAGTGGTGAGGGAGGGAGAGTGGTGAGGGAGGGAGAGTGGTGAGGGAGGGACTCAGCCTCAAAACGAGTAACTGCTGTGGCGTATTAACATCGCCACTGGGGAGACAAAGGCGGCCGGGCGTGGTGGATCCAAGTCCCGGGCGAAGCCGGGTACTTATGCTAGTCTTCTATACAGGTAGGAACAGCAGGTTCCACACTTGCCCATTAGGGAGTATTTGTCTGTCTGTCGTGCACGAATGCGCTGTCCAACCAAGTTCTTACCTGCCCACTCCGAAGGAACGTGTTTAAATTTCGATGTAAAGCTTTCGTGACTGCAGGGATTCATCTTCTTGGTTCTTTCGGTAAAGTCACGTAGAAGGGAAGTAATAAAATAATAAAAATTAAACAATAAAATAATTATCACGACGTTTCGGCCACAACGCAAGCAGCCATCCTCAGGTGAAGACCAGGTCTGTCGGGGAGACAGCGTCA